AGGTTTTGTCTTTGTCTGGACCGTTTCCTGGCTGGTGAGAGATTGGGTCTGACTCAGATTGTCATTTCGTTGTATTTTAGGTTAGTCCTTATCTGATTTGTGTCTTCAACTGTGTCACATTACATCTCTTCCGCGTGTTGGTGACAGTTTGCATTGCCTCGGACATATACCAGGCATGCATCTGTGTGAGTCTGTGTCTGCTGTCTGTCTGTCTGTCTGTCTATCGGTCTGTGTGTCAGTCTCTACTGTGGTGTGGCGGTGCGTACTTTATCACGTGTACGTTATTCCGAGATATTTGTCTGTGAGTTGCTTTTCTTGACTTTGATGTTTCGATGTGGTGCTATAATTGTCATTATCAACAGGCTGGATCAGTTCAATGGCGTCGTCGCGCAGGAGAATCTGCTATCCAAGACACCACCAGTAGAATTGACTGTTCGCCACCTCAAAGTGTTGCGGGAAGGACCCCCTGCAGCTCCTCATCACTCTTTGCAAGCCACTGAGGTATGTACTGCTTGCTCATTGTCAAGCTATCAGTCACTTATTCAACAAGGCTTTTTTTGAGTTTTTTTTTTTTTAACTACACTGTATTCTTCTCTCGATTTTTACCCCGCACTCTAAAGCTGTTATCCCTAGTATCCCAGGGTCTCTGTGTATCTTTTTGACATCAATCTCCACCCGCGCCAAGATCGTCTGGTACATCTCACTCCACCAGAACCGCGGCACGCCCTGACTGAGAATTCAAGCTTTCGATTGTTCATTGATAAAAGAAAATCAAAATGAAGAAAGACGTATTGATTGATTAAATACTTCGTGATTGATTCTTTGGTTGAAAAAACACTGATTCATTTCCTTCTTGAAATGTATCTTTGTTACAATCCTGGCCTATTTCGAAGTACAAATTCACGAGAAAGCACAATGCCGACCAATTGCATAAAGAAATGAATGAACTTGAGAGGAGAGAGAGAGAAAGAAGAAGAAGAGGAAGAAAGAAAGAAGAAGAAGAAGATGTACACCAGCAAAGACCAATTATAATTCCCTTCCTCTCGCCAACCAATGCCTCCTCCTTTTTTCCTCCCCTCTTTGTTTAAACAACAAATATTAAATAATAAAATAATAATGATGATGAATGGCCGAACCAGAATCAATGTCTGAATCCCTCTTCTACTGCAGGCACAACATGAGGTCCACCATAGCCATGGTCATCCTTCTCCTTCCTCTTCATGTAGGCCAAGGCTATGGCGGACTAGTAGGGCCTTGCCCTGCTGTGCAAACGACAAGTCAAAGCAGCTATGCCCGTTGCTGTTCAGGCCGCCATACCTGACTCTGTCTTGAAGCCTTGTTGGTGCGGCGCAACCCCAACTGAGGCCTTCCAGATGCAGCGCCTAGTAAGGTGATGAAGATGGTGCCCACCATAGCCACGTAGGTACCTCGCCACTCTCCTCCCTAGCCCCCTTCTTCGTCCTCGTACCGGTAGAGCTCCACCATAGCCAAGGTGGAAGCTCCTGGTCTCCTTCCTCTTAGCAGCACTGTAATGCCCAGTGCTGCTGCTCCCACTGGCGCTTTGAAGGTCAGTGCTTGCTCCAGCAGTACGTCGCCCAAACTTGCATACCGCAAATGAGGAAGAGCTCAGGGCTCTCCCTGGAGATATAGCGAGGCACAGCCTTCTTGGGCAGTGACTTCCAGGCCGTGCAGCCTCCAAGCAACCGGTACCTCCTCCCTTTCGGAGGGAAACATCATTGATATTGTCTGCACAGGCCCTAGACTCAGGCTACTTGGACTGGTATGGGCCTAGACCTAGCCTACTAGCTACTGGGCCTCTAAAAATGCCAACTTTTGTCTTCTTCTGCTTGGCCTCCAGTCCCCGACACATTTTCCACTACTTGAGTGGTACCGGCCTACCCGCTACTCGAGCATTTTTCCCTACTGCTCTTAAGTGCCGCCGGCCTACTCTTGCTACTTGAGTGTTTTCCCCGCTGCAACCCTCAAAGTCACAGCCACAGGTAAGTATCGGCCCTACAGGGCCTTCAAAGCAAGCAAGTACCCTTGCGGGTCACACACACTCAGGCCGACAAGCCCTCAGACAGGAACGCAGACCATCAAGCACGCACACACACATACTTAGAAAACTCAGCAGAATGCGGGAATCTCAGCAAGGCATCCATTCCAGTCGCAAAACTCAGAAATCAGTAGTGTTCCCAGTCTGTGTTTTGGCGGGTCATTACACTACCCCCCCCTCAAGAGCAAGGTCCCTTCGAGCGAGTAACTCACTCAGAGTCCCTGCACAACACATCACAGGCGTAGATGGCAAAGAGTGATCGGGTATGTTCCGTAGGAGTGAGGGAAGCAGTAAATTTCGGTTGCTGTTCGGAGACAATCAGTCGTTCGTATGTTTTGACGACTCCCTGCGCACTCTGCAGCAGATCTTTCCTAGAAATCTAGTAAAAAATTATCTAACGGGTGATACAAAAAATGGACCTTGTATTGCCTGTTCTTCCCCTTTCCACTGTGTTCGACTATTCTATCAAACTGGTGACCGCCATTGATTGCACGAGGGATCATCGATTCTCGATACAGAAAAGTTTCAGGTGACAGATACGGAAACAACTTTGATGCATGAAAAAACTGGGTGCGTGTGCAGATGAGGAGGCACGTCAATTACATAAGGAGGACCGAATGAATCATCCCCCACCTGTTTCAGCACCTGCCACGAACCGTAAGGTTGAGGAAGAAGCTTTCGCGATACCCCGCCTCTTCTTCAGAAAATTCAGACATTTTGACCCATACGTAACTCCCCACTGTGAAAGGTTCAGGTTGACGCTTCTTGTTCGCACGTTAATCATGGCACTGCATCGCCTCTCCATAGTTGCTGCAGCAACTTGACCAAGCGATCAAATTTAGCGTTGTAGGCAGGCTGGCCTGGTGTTGGGTCAGGTGTCGTTCCAGGAAACAGGTAGGAGAGGGGATTGGGAATCTACCACCCAAGATGCAACCGATTTGGTGTCATGTCGGTGGAGGAGTGTATGGAGTTGTTGTACAACCCCTGCACAATTGGCAATTCCTCGTCCCAAGAGTTCTGATCAGCCACAATTAGAGAGTGGAGAAGTTGAATCACGGTCTGGTTCATCTCCTCAACCAATCCATTGGTTTTGGGATGTCAAAGCGGTCAACGATCACCATCACTTGCAAATATCCGTTTCTGCTTTTCTTTCTCATTTTCGTGAAGTCAATGGAGACAGACTCACCAAGACCAGCAAGGATAGGAAGAGGATGCAGCAGTCCATAGAGCTTTTGCCAAGATGGTTTGATGAGACAAACTTGACACTCAACCACAAACTTCCGGGTCATGCCTTTCCCCACCACACACTGACCATATGGGCGATCTGCAAATGACTGACCAGCAAGCAACCCAATACGTTTTGGGATTGCAACAGTAACCGGATGAATTGCAAATTGTTGGCCAGCATCCGACACACAAGCCTGAGATACTCACCAATCTCTGTGGTCTTACTGCAACTAATATTTGTCAATTTTGTCTTCACATTCTCCACTGCCCTGTTTTGTACACCCTCCGACTTCCTTGCAATTGCCCTTCAGCTTGATGTTGGCTGATATCCCAGACCTGCAGCTAGAGGATTGTAATTATATCAGGGAAATAGGCTTTACTGTTGTTGTCCTACAACCAACAATGAGGGACTTTAACTTGAGCTATGCAGTGCTCGAGCAGGTGAGTGGTTTAATCCTCCATCCCACATATCTGCCTACATTGTACACAGACCTGGCCATTACATGGCCATTATACGTACCTCTGACCACTGGGAGTTGTGGGACAACGGCATCATGGTCCATGCCATGACTAATGTTACAGATATCTTACATTGAGCCCTCCTCCTTTGCACAGCTACAGACACTGTTATACTCGGCTGTAGTCGCCATAGTCTTTGTCACAATCACTACAATGACATGGTTTCTGCATCTATGTGTGTAGAGGACTGTCCCTCCATTCCTGACTCCAGGCACCCTCCTTATCCGGGCACTCTGTCCATTTTGCGGCCATGGGCGGTATACTGAATACATGTTTTTTTGTGGTGAGTGTTCTTCATTCATTTTGGCCTGCAATTGACACGCCATTTATCTGTAGTGTATGTTGGGCATGGTCAATGTCAGTTGTCGTGGCAATTGTTGTGTTGAGAATGCTCAGCTAGGTCTTCCATGTGCCCATCCACCTCATCCTTACAATGCGTGTCATGTCTGCCGTCAAGGACCGACTTGTTCTTGAGCTCTTTTTATCCTTACTTTCCCTTTTTCGTTATTTGTTTCTCTTCTCTTCATCTCTCTTCCTAGTGTTTATCACCTCCCCCTTTACTCTGCCTCTTTTTCACAGCGTACAAGTAGGCCGTTATGGCACATGGGGATGCGGGCAGCTGGTGCTCAACTTCATCAACGTGGCGAGCCTTGTACTTGAGAGGCACGGTGAAGGGGGAGTTAAAAGAAGAATGAGAAAAATGAATAGTTTCGGTGTGCCCCTTCGTCTTTGTTTTGTGTTTTTATCTTTACCGTTTGTTTTGCAAAGTGCGCTTTTATTGTCAAACAAATATATATTATATATTATCATATTTGAATATATTGTTGTCCTCTTCTCCCTCTCTGTTGACGGTTTACCAAGCAGTTTTGTTTGACGATATAAGGTGAATTTTCACTTACAGTGTAGTAAGTTAGGGGATTTTGCAGACTTTCGAGGGTTAACTCCGACGAAACAGTTTGTCGCAGCCCCTCATTTGTTGTCCACTTCTCCCTCTTTGCCTACGGTTTACCGAGTAGTTCTGTTTGACGATATATAGATAGATAGATAGATAGATAGATTGACGATATATACATATATATACTATTGAACCGACAGTCTGTAGAGTTTTCCATCTGGTGTGGGTGAGTGATAGTCTACTTTGATTTTGGTTAAGGTAGATTATCATTTACAGTGTAATCAGTGAGGGGATTCTGCA